TGCTGATGGTCTCCTCCTTGATTTCAGCACACTTTGGATCAGTTCTAGTTGAACGAAGTACCTCAGGAACAACTCTGGTGTTAGCAGAGAATTTTCTGCTCCATCATTCACATAGGTTTTGAAATAAGGCCCATTAAAATCAATGGCCCTCTTTTCATTAACTACAGCTGCCTTTGGATCAGGCCTGGGAAGATTCATGCCTTCCAGAAATGCCATTGGATGATTTCTTTAAAAAGTATTGAACAAAGATATATACAACCTCATGGGCTGATGGGGGGAAGAAAGTCCTGTCTCACTTTTGTATGATTGGCTTCCTGCTCATATCAGCATTAATTTAGATAATTAAATTGCTTATTTCAATAGTTGGAAGAGGCATGACCAAGCTACTCTACTAACACGTCAGATGTATTAGTGTCCAGGGTTTTGATTTTCTTCTTTTTATGTGTGTGAAAAGCTGTATAATCGGACACTGTCTGTCCTCCCCACCCCCAAGATGAGCTCTTCTTGAGAGGAGAGTACCAAAGACATTCAATATCACATTATGAATGACACCATAGTTTCAGCGTTTATATGGCATACAGTGATGTTCAGTGGCAGCAGATGAATGGAGGAAATTAAGCACAATAATAGCATCAGTCCCTCTTGAATTTAACAGTAAGATGAACAATTCAGTGATATAATTTAACAACATGTAAGTAAAAGCTCAGATACGTTAAAGAGCAAACTAAAGTCCATAACTGGACATGCTTTTTGCATTCAGCCTTGAATCACTTTGTACTGCCCCTGTAGGGACTTTGAACTTTTGTTCGCATGAGGTTGAAGCAGTTTCATTAAACCACGCTCCAGAAATGTCCATCTTACCCTTGACTCCGGTTTTGGTTTTTTGGTTTTATTAATATTCGTGGCTGAATCCCTCCTCTGAAGGATGAGACATCACAGAAAACGTTCTGTATTTTTCCACCTCTGGCTCACGTGTTTTTTGCTGTTGGTGACATTTCTCAAACCAGGACAGAAGAGCAATCTCTAGAGAGGATGAAACAGGGACCATCCAGTGCTTGTGCTTAAATGCCTTGTCCTATAAATGCCATGAAGTTTTCTTCTCTGCCACATTCTTTGTATCTGCCCCTTCTTTTTCCTTTATATTTCAAGATGTCATTTCAGTTTTGATTCTATTCTTTCATACAAGTTTTTCCTCCTTGTCTCCTGAATAACAGTGATGTGACAGCATTATCTGAGAAGCAAGGTTATAACAAAGTCACTGTATGTCCCTTCAGGATCTGGTAGGAGAAAGACAGAGCAGGATGGAAAACACCATCATCTTATTTGCAACAGACAGAGGTTTGGTTTTCTAAAGAAACTGATGTCAGGATATGCTTTGGTTTTGGTTTAGTCAGGAGGAAACCCCATGATAAGTGCATCCAAGCTATGTGGTTCCTTTCTGGATATATATATGATACTTTGGAAGGCCGAGCCTTAGCTCTGTTCTCAGCCTTAAGGGATAAAAGCTGAGAAGACAAATCAGCATCTCTTAAAAGCGCAAGGGAAGCCCAATAGTGATCAAAATATTAAAGTACTTTTGAGATGAGAAGATCCAGTTTTCCTTCAACTCTTTTTCTTTTTAAGGCTGCTTTTTATAAGCAGTCATTTCCCAAAGCATTTCCTTACTGATTAAAAGCAGAGAGGCCTTACCATGGATGCTCACTGATCTAAAACTCTATACCAGCCACCCTGAAAAAGCCATACTGAAGCTGAAGATTATATAGAACTTGTGTCTATCTTCTGCATATTGTTTGCTCAGCTGTGCCTGTATTTTAAGTGTAGAGAGCTCACTTCAACATTTACCAGCACGTTTCTCAGCCTGGATGCCATTCCCACATCACGTTTACATGTAGCCAGAATTATTCACTTCTATTTTTTTTTTTCCATTAAGCTATTAAAACGGGGCCTCAGACACAGAGTCCACAGTTTGGTAATAAACTCAGACATGATAGGATTTGTCAGTTCTTTTTGCAGTATCACTTAACACATCTAAATGTGCCACAAGGGAAACCCAAAGTGATGTTTGTGAGATAAAAGGGGAAAAGGAGGTATTTTTGAAGGATGTACATTCACTTACGCCACTTTGAAGAAAATTATTCCCACATGAGTGGCTGAACTAAAAATAATGGTAATAAAAAAAATCCACATTGGCCATTTGGAAATAGGGTCAACCAAACAGAAGTTCTTATTCTTGGATCGCTCTGAAGCCTAAACTGTCCCACTTCTGGCTCCTTTTCGATCCTTTCTTATAGAAGGGGAAATGTTGATCAGCTGCTGTAATCTCAAACTGGGCTCAGTCTCACAGTGACAGACTGAGGTGGGAAAGAAACCAGTGTGGAAAACCCATGACAAAAATGCTTTATCTCCAACCATTCTTCTGACACTCCTGAAGATTTCCTTGCCACGGTACAAGACCTGTTGATGTGAATGGGGCAATTTTCTCTCACTGATAAATCCGTACATAAAGCAGCTGCAAGTTAAGAGACTTGGTTCAACTCTTCATGCTATAAAAACAGACAAAATAATGTATTTTGGACTGAATGCAAGAATAATACTGAATCACAAATGTGTATGAAAGCCACCACAGGTTATAAATATAGATTTTAAGCAGATGTTGTGATTTGATTTGGGTTTTTTTCCCCACAATTTTTAGCCTAAATGACTGTTCTGAGACACCTTTCAGTATTCATAGTGCAGAATTGAGCTCTTGAAGTGTTTTGGCATGGAGTGGAGAGGAACAACACCTTAGAGATGCAGCTTTCAGAGCTGGCCATCTGGGTAGTCCTTCTGCAGAAGACACATGTACCAAGTAATCCACATCCATTGAGCTCCCTGTCACACTGCACCCTCTGCCTGTTGATCCAGCATCCGTCTGTCCATGCGCCGTCCTTCTGACTGACGCCGGCTGCTGCTTGCCTCTTTTATCCTGGCTTCATGTGGGTTAGCAGCTGGCAAAGACTCTTTTAATACTGTATTTATAAAGCTTCACAGCGATGCAAGCCCAGACACAGAGAAAGGCTGTTTCGAGCTCCCAGCTCTGGAGTGCCGCATGGCAGATCTGGTTTCCCACCTCTCACTGCCGCCACTAACCTGCTCCCACACCCCCAAAACAAAGCTTCCTGAAAGACACACTGGAAGAAAAACCTCGGGCTGAAGCTCCCATAGTTATTTTAAGCAATGCTCGTCCTGATGCCGCTGCAGGCGACTGCCTGGTCGGTGTTTCAGTAATGTACTTGTTTAAAAGGAAATGCTAACTACTGCAGGGCACGGTGATATTTTCATGCCCTTTTTACCCTGCAACCTTTTCCATCTCGCTCAAATCTCAGCACCTCACTGTCTCGTAGGGACACCGTCTGGCTGAGGTGTAAACTGCAGCACCTTTGGAGTTGGGGACGATACCTGAATGAGCAGGATTTTTCTTCTTTATAATATTCCTTCTTGCATTTATGTTCCACTGCTGGCAGATCATTCCAAATCTCATCTGAAGGGAGAAGGGTTTATTAGATATATTCCTTTTCTTTTTGTCTGCATACGATATGGACTTTTGAAAAATAGGAGCCTGTATTTTGTCCTGGGAATAAGGATCTGCAGCTCATCTTGACAACTACATAAGATTTCCCCCTTTTTATTTCCTAAACCAGCATGACACACACTTTATTTCTGAGATACATGGTAGAAATAGGCCCAACATTTGACTGATCGAGACTGGTTTTGAACAAATGCTGACACCACCGTTCTTTTTGTCTGTGATTCCCACAGAACCCTATTGCTTTGAACAGAAATATCCTAGAATGTGTAATCAGCAATGATCTACAATGTACAGTTTCCCTTCGTGCCTCTTCTACCCAGCTGCCAACAACAAGAAGCTGATGTGCATGTTAAAAGACAGAGGAAACAGAAATTCCCTTAAAAATGGATGAAGAAATCTGTGGGTTTGAGAGGAAAAAGAAGATTCAGGAACTGGGAGGAGGGTTTCCAAAATGATTCCTTGGGCAGTAACAGCTACGGAGGGGAAACTGCTTTCTTCTGTGTGTGCATATACAGTAGATAGAACTGCAATGATTATATGATAGGGGTTGGAACTAGATCATCTTAAGGTCCTTTCCAACCTTAACTATTCTATGATTCTATGATCTAATAAAAAGTAGTAAACCAACAGCAATAAGTAAATAATAAAGAAGTTATTAATAAAACAATTGATCTAGTGTTAGAAACACAGTTAAACTTTTAACAGCACAGCCACTTTGCCTGCCTTGTTACACCACCACTGGCTTCAGTCAAGGTAAAGTCAAACCAATGACCTTAAACTGAGGATCATCCACCTGAGCTTTTGCACTTCTTTAAGCTAAATAGGTGAAAGATGTGTTTTGAAGCTGCTGAGTTTACTCCTATAAAGAAGGACTGATGGCAAAAAATACGCATATGAAAAGAGCTGTGTATTTTTAGCAATAGTCATTTCTGAGGCTCTGGGGCTGAAAACAGCAACGGGTGAAGTAGCAACTGACTGTGTGTGATTTGCAGTGGTTTGTATCTCTGCTCTGTGTTGTGTATCTCCTAATGATGAATATGTGGGAGGGCCAGGTCAAAAATAGTTTCCACTCCAGCGCGTTGATTGTGTAGTTGGCAGTGGGCTCAATTAAAGTATAATAATCTGGTAATCTCCCTCCTGTTTCCTTTCAGGCTGCTGCACACTGAATAGAGACAGTGAAAGAGAATAGCTTTTGGAAAGTAGGTGAACTCCCGCCTCTTTGTCTAAGCAGTTTGTGTTTAGTTAAGTAAAATGACAGGCAGAAGAGACAACTCTCCAGCACGTTGCTCCATGACTTGCACCATGACTGCTGTTTGTGTTTCTACGAGATAACATTTGCTCTTTATTTCCCTTTCTAGGCTACGGATTGGATTTCTAACAAGCTTCTCACCACAGAGAAAAGACAAGCTGATACGAGAAAGGAGTTATGGAGATGTACATGATGGGAAGATGCTGTGTGCCCCATCTCATGGTTCTTCTCACATTCGTGTTCAACGGGGAGCGAATTGTGGCACAAAGAGCAGGTATGTGCTGTTTGGCTTACTGCTCATGCTAAGTAGCTGCTGGGCCTTTTACATGGTTGAGAAGCTACTATTGCTAGGAGGAAAACAATAAAAAAAACCCCAAACAAGACATTTACTGCTGAAAAGACATAAAATAAACCTTACAAATGGAGATAGGTCGGGGATCAAGGTAAGAAAGGCTTAGAAAGGTTAGCTAAGCTACCCACAGCAAAGGGAGCAGCACACAGTTTACTCTGGATACGCTTCATCTACCCCACACTAGTATGGAGATCACTTCTTCAATTGCCTTCAGTGGGTGTCACATTAGACCTGGTGAATCATTTATCTGGTTGAGACTTTCCTAGTGAGCTAAACAGGGCCAGGACACTCTTCATAACCTCCCTTGGTTCATATGTTCAAACATACTGATAGGATAAGGGGTGATGGCTTAAGCTAAAAGAGGATAAATTTAGATTAGATATTAGGAAGAAATGCTTCCTTGTGAGGGTGCTGAGGGGCTGGCTCAGGTTACCCAAAGAAGTTGTGGCTGCCCCATTCCTGGCAGTGTTCAAGGCCAGGTTGGGCACAGCGGCTTGGAGCAACCTGCTCTAGTGGAAGGCGTCCCTGCCTGTAGCAGGGGGTTGGAATGAGATAATCTTTAAGGTCTTTTCCAACCCAAACCATTCTGTGATTCTATGATACTGTCTAGTTGCTAGCATGGTCCCTGGCATGGCTTTTGGCCTGTGCTGGTGAGCACTTTCCCCAAAATGCCACTGAATGATTCACATTAGAGGATGATGCATCTAAAGGACTGTTCCTATCAGCAATCTTGACAAGGACACATTGGTTTTTTCATGAGTAGTAAGAAAAGTTATCTGGCTGTGAATGAGGCTGCATCTCAGGAACAAGAAATGGTTGTAGACCCACACAATTTACTGGTGTAAAAAGCCCAAATGTACTTTGAAGTCGAAGTTTTCAGTCCCTTTTTCTAGGAAAGATGCTCTTTTATACATTTGGGTAATTTATAAGAAAGAAAAGGCTTTTTTAGACCTTTTCTTACTCTAAGGAAGAGCTACTTTATGATCTATATAAGGCTTTTTGGATGAGGTTTAACAGGAGTAAGTACTTAGTAATAAACCAAAATGAAAACTCATTTTTTTCCTACCTGTGGATCAGCCATAGGAAATCATGGTGGTACCATTTACATGTTCATTCTGTGATTACTTTAAATATTTTTTGGCTTACGGCTTGTTTGTGAAATATTTTTAATAACAATATTGCAAAACAGTTGACTCAGTGTCTGAGCGGATGAACACAGCTCCTGGAATTATGCTTCCAGAGAGTATTCCTGTAATTACAAAAATGAGAGTTCACTTTCTATGAATTATCTCCCATGTTCCCTTAAGAGGAGCTCTTCCTGCCAGTAAAAAATACTATAGCATTCTTGGAAAACAATCGATTCTGTCCAGCAGTGGACATTACTGTGCTGAAAATGCAGATTAATATTTACTAAAAGCTTTTCTGCAGCATTTCATCTCACTGCTGTCAGGTCTGTAAGCAAAGAATCACTGACTCTAAGAAAATGATCCTGAATGTTCATCTGTTTCTTCCCTATAATACTGCCTGAAATATGCATCGTTTTTAGACCTTTACCCCTTCCTTGTTTTAAAGCTCATCATCCCTGAACTCAGACAGGATTCATTCTGCCTGTTTGGTTCCTTTTTAAATTGCAGTTATCTCACCTGCTGAGAGTTGTTAAAATAAGCAACAGGAAGGTCTGTACCTTGTGGGTTTTATACTCAAACCGTTATGTTCTTTAGTTAGTCTTAATCTTCTCTCTGCAAGAATCTTAATAGTTTTGCAGACAGAATAGGTTAATATAATAATGTATTGGGGGAGGGGCAAGTGCAGGTTTCTTGCTTAGCATTTATTGTTCTATATTCTATTTAGATCCTGTTTTATATTCTGCCAAAATCAAAGAGAATTACACATTTCTTCTTTCTTTCTCCTTTCTTCCTTTCTTCTTTATCTCTATTCTTTTCTTTATTTTTCTTTTTTCTTCTTTATTATTATTATTGCAAATAATAATAATATTTCAATTATTAATCTATTCTTCTCTCAACCCACGAGTTTTCTCACTTTTACCCTTACAGTTCTCTTCCCCAAAATACGATCCCAATCCCATATCTTAGGTTGGTCCTGTACACACTGAAGGACCATTAGGGTGGACTCTGATATAGAAGTTAACACAGGAACAGATGATGCTCATTTTTTGTCATCGCCTGCAACACTCTTACGGCCATCATGCATACCATAAGCACTGACCTATAGTGTTATGATGCTGACCTATAATGCTTTTACTCTTACCTGAAGGCAAATCACCTTCATGCAGCTGAGCTACCCACACTTTTTTCTAGTGCAGGGGCTTGTTCTGGGATTCCTGTCCTCTTCAGGGCCTCAGCATAATCAAAACCACCAGTGCTGATTCATGAACCCTCAGGTCAGATTTGGTGAGGGTCTCATCAGCTACAGCCTGTCCCACCACTTCCAGCCAGAGAACAGGGAAGGCTGGGGGATGGCAGCCAGGCTCAGCTGACAAACCAAATTCCCTGACAAGCTCATAGTGATGAAGCAGGTCCCAGATCAAGCCAGGAACATGAGTCAGGCTCCAGATCAGGTCCAAGGACAGCATACAGGGTCAGTCCTGCTCCAGGCAAACCCACAGATGTGGGGCAGGTATGAGGTGGAGCCAGGAAGTTAGTCCATGCTTCTGTATTTAAAAGCATCTTCCAGGTGGAGACAGGTCTTTCCTGAATACTTCCAGCAAAGCTTTCTGAGGAGCTCACCCAAGGCCAGGGAGCCATGGGAGATAAACCCCTGGAGAAGGGATTAACTCTCAGGGCCATCAGGAAATGATTTCAAGCTTTCACAGTGACTCTTCCAAGCATCTCCACTTACCATGCTTTGGTTCATATCATGGAGCAGTTCTGGCTTGATTTCTGATGAAACTGGAGAGGAAGATGCACCTCGTTGTTAATGGGTCTCAGTCACTGATGGACATTTAATTGTTGGGATCTGTCTGGAACTAGTCTGATGTGAGTGAAAAGATGCAAACTGTACAATGGGAATGTTACTTTATAATGTATGAAGAGCTAAACTATTCTTGGTGGGTATATGCTGAAGTTATATACTCTCACAAATGCTCTAACCATTGGAAATAGGTTGGTCAGTCCAGGTCAGAGCCCAGAGGAGGTTATTAACATGGTTGTGGTGGGAAAAGTTGGGAGAATCAGGGTTCTGCAATGAAATAGGAATGAACAGAACAGATCTACTCTCAGTGGGTACGGGTAGATGTTGACTACCAGCTAAGGTCCTGGTAAAGCAGTAGGAGGGAAATAGAGTGGCACAGACACTGGTATGGATTAGCTCTCTGTCTTCTATCATGTTACATGTGCTTTGGTCTCCACATAATTGATCAAATTATCAAAGTGCTTTTCAAATAAGTGGTTGACCTTTGTGAGACAACCTGAAACAGGTACTACTGGAGAAACAATGGTTGGTGCTTGTGACCACAGAGAAATTGACTTTGTAGAGCAGCTTTTTTCAAGCTTGAAACTCATAATTTGTTAGGCACTATGGTCTATAATAGTAATTAAAGAAACAAATACATATATATGTATTTTCTCCAGTTGGGGCACTATATTGATAGATCTTTGGCATGTGAGACATTTATCAATCTACTGCCTCCTGGCTTGCATGTATTCAGAAGCAGCTAGAAAGTAGTAAATCTCCTGGGAGATCTACTTTCTTGGCAAGAAGCTGACAAGTATATGACCAGTCTGACTTCATAGGGCAAGCAAGCTGCAGTTAGAATAGATTTGCCTTTTAGATCACATAGGCCTCAGATTACAAATATCATGGCTGGAGGCAAAACAGTGGTTGTGGGGAGAAGTGAACTTTTCCCTTACAAAGCAACTGTCCTTTGTTGTCAAGGAAGCCATCCCAGTATTCAGTGAGTCATCCTTTAGTCAACAGTCAATGGCAGAGAGCTTCAAAATCAAAATAATCTTGTTATAAACTCGCTTCACCAACATATCATGCCGAGCAAAAGAACTGCTTCTACCTAAGCATAAATAAATCATCATGTTAATGGGAGAGGGAGCATAAGAGCTTTGCTACTTAAGGTCTTGATTGACATAGGCAAGGTCAGGGCAGGTCTCTTGATCTGCCATCAGAGCATGGCCTGAGCAAAGGCACTGAAATGAAGTTTGAGAAAAGCAGCTTCATATGCATGCAGATGGTGTAGGTGAAAGGCTGAGCAGAGACAGTTCGTAGTGCAGGAGGGGAAAGGGTTTGCATTTCAAAGTGAAGTGTGTGCTCATCTGTAAATGTCCTGAAACAGATGAGGTGAATCACAAGGAAGAAAGGCCGAGAATCTGCATTTCCTCTGCAAGACAGGGAGAACGTTTGCTACCTCCTCTAAATTGCTCACTAGGGAGCCATGCTTAGGGGATATTTGGTATGCCTGGTGCTCGTCTTTCATCTTCCCTTAATGATGCTTTCTGCTGCTCCTACAGGTTGCAAGAATGTTCACTATGACCTTGTCTTCATCTTGGATGCCTCCTCCAGCGTTGGAAAAGAGAATTTTGAGAAAGTTCGGCAGTGGGTGTCTAACTTGGTGGAAACTTTTGAGATTGGCCCAGACAAAACCCTTGTTGGTGTGGTGCGATACAGTGATCGTCCCACCACAGAGTTTGACCTGGGGAAGTACAGAACCTGCGAGGAAATCAAAGAGGCTGCACGAAACATTAAGTATTATGGGGGTAATACCAACACTGGAGATGCTCTCAGGTACATCAACACCTACAGCTTTTCCAAAGAAGCTGGTGGGAGACTTAGTGATCGAACAGTTAAAAAAGTGGCTATTCTTTTGACTGATGGAAGGAGCCAGGATCACGTCTTGGATCCTGCCAATGCAGCACATCAGGCTGGGATTAGGATCTTTGTTGTGGGTGTTGGCGAAGCCTTAAAAGAGGAACTCGATGAGATTGCTTCAGAACCCAAGTCTGCTCACGTGTTTCATGTCTCTGATTACAACGCCATCGATAAAATCCGAGGGAAGCTGAGAAGACGCCTCTGTGAAAGTAAGTTGAGCTCCCAGTTCTTCTACACAGTTAGAATTACAACAGTCTCTGTTAGCATATAGGTATGAAAAACTGTGATTGTTTTCTTTCATGGGTTTAAAGTTAAACACGGGAAGTTCAGGTTGGATATAAGGAAGAAGTTCTTTACTGTGAGGGTGGTGAGGCGCTGGCACAGGTTGCCTAAAGAAGTGGTAAATGCCCCATCCCTGGCAGTGTTCAAGGCCGGGCTGGACAGAGCCTTTGGTGACACAGTCTACTCTGAGGTGTCCCTGTCCATGGCAGTGGGGTTGGAACTAGATGATTTTAAGGTCTTTTCCAACCCTAACTATTCTATGATTCTGTGATTCATGCTTATAATTCTATGCTGATAAATCTTTATTTTAGTGTCTTTCTACTCTGTAAGGAATCATTTTGCTACCCGGAGTGTGATGAAATGATCACTTCTGGGTTCTTCTGCCCAAGTCAGTATTAACTATAGGTTAACTATAGTCCATACTGTATGTTAACTATAGGTCAGCTTCTAGAAGTGAATTAGAGAGCAAAGTGTGACTTTCCTTTTTGTTCTGATGCAGTTCAATTACTTTATAATATTTGGGACTCCTGAATATGAAAGGTGAAATCTTATTTCTACCCATATTTTGGTTTGCTTTGTATAGTAACTGTTTTTCCCCCCCTTGTGTTCTGGCATTGTACTGTGAAAATAATGTTCTGGATGCTTCTGAGAATGATCCTTTAAGAAGCAAAGGGATACTTGTGCTTTTCTATCATCTCAACTCTACTGACACCTGGTGTTCCCTAGTGCTCTGGTTATCATCCATATAAACTTTGGTGATGTTTTGAATGACTTGTAATGGAGAACAATGTGTGAAATCCACCCTGAAGAAATGAACTCTGAATTTCCCAGTCCCTCAGTGAAGAGGACTGTAATGGCATTATGGCTGGTATCTCCCAGCACTTTAAAGTTAACAACAACTACTCTCTCCTTCTTAGTGACTACATAAAAGCTACCTGGTATTGCTGCCTTTTGCAGTATGTGCTGTGGTTACTCTGACTTCTTTGGGTGAACATCATAAGACATGACTCTGGTTCCTAGGTCTGAACTTGGAAGACAATGGCTGTTCCCTGTGTGATGTTGCAACACATGTCAGTGTCACAATGACCAGATCTATAGGTTGTCAAGTTGTGTTACTGTGAGGTGACAATAAGTTGCCTGGAAAAAAGCAGGCCTTGTAGCTGGTGTTGTGAATCACTTTTATTGCTCTCTGCAAACTCCATTTGCAAGAAAATAAGTATTAACATAATGTTCTGAGCTTACGTGGTTCTGGGCAACCTGATCTAGTTGATGATGTCCCTGCTCATTGGACTAGATGAGCTTTGATGGTCCCTTCCAACCCAAACTGTTCTATGATTCTATGTATGCTTCTTAAAGAGTGACTAGAACAAGTAGGCATAAACACAGGGTCCTGCACCTGAGGAGGAAGAAGCCTATGTACAAGTACAGGCTGGGGGCTGACCTACTAGAGAACAGTTCAGCTGAGAAGGACCTGGGAGTATTGGTAGATGACAAGTTGAACATGAGCCGGCAGTGTGCCCTTGCGACCAGGAGGGACAAGAGTGTCCTGGAGTGCATGACAAGGAGTGTGGCCAGCAGCCCTTCAGGAACAGACTGCTCCAGTGTGGGTACCCCACAGGTTCACAAGTCCTGCAGCAAACCTGCTCCAGTGCAGCCTCCTCTCTGCATGGGGCCACAGGTCCTGCCAGCAGCCTGCTCCAGCTTGCACTTCCCATGGGATCACGTAATCTCACTCATCTCCCTGGCTGCAGTCGTGCAGCAGGTTTTTTTTCCCCTTCTTATATCTGTTATCCCAGAGGCACTACCATGGTCACCGATGAGCTCGGCGTTGGCCAGCACTGGGTCCATCCTAGAGCTGGCTGGAATTGGCTCTGTCAGACATTGGGCTTCTCGCAGCTTCCCACAGAAGCCATTCCTGTATCCCCTCTGTTACCAAATCCTTGCAATGAAAACCCAATACAAGGCTGCTAAATGGATTGGTTTCAGTGTAAGGACGAAGGGAATCAGACAGACATCAAGGAACATTAGTAAAGAATGGAGAAGAGAGGAGGGAATTGGTTGAACAAACAGCAACTGAGTAATGTGCACATATAGAGATCACTTAGGCAGAGATGTAAGGACATTAACAGTGACAAGGGGAATTGAGTATCTAGGTACATGGGGCACAGGGCATGCAAGCGGATTTGAGAAGTGGATGCAGGGCAGAAAGAGGAGTTATCAACTAAGGCAGCAAACAGGGGTGCAATGGGCTGATTTCCACAGCAAGAGCAGTTATAGAAGCCAGGTCTGCTGTAGCTATTCCTGGGTGACATTTGTCTGATCCAGACTCTGGTGACATGGTCTAACATCTCTAGATCCTTCATTCTGGCCTGTATGGGGGTCATCATCTTCTCAGTGTCTAGCCTCAATCCCTCTTGATGCAAGTAGAACCCAGTTTTGTTCTGTTTTCACTGGATATCAAAAATAGTTTATTCTGTTCCTCTGTATGTCAGTCTTTTCTACTTGGAAGGCAATTACATATCTACTCTAGGTCTTTTCTTCCTAGATTTAAAGCAAGGAAACTGCTCTTTGGCAGAATCGCTTTTGTCATACTTAATTTGTTTAATTGTCATAGTTAATTAATATAATTATTTTATTATTAACTTTATTATTTACTTTATTTAATTCATTGTTTTGCGTACAAGATGTTTTTAGTAGGCATGGTGTTTAGGTCAGGTTTAAACAAACAAGAAATTCTTGTCACTGAAGCTGGCTACCGAAATAGAGGATGAGAGGATGAAAGATATGCTCTGTCTATTATGATGGAGCATAATCAGCAGAAGTATTAATTAGAGGTCAGGTAACCTTTTTGTTATCTGAATATGTGAGGTGGAATTGTTTTGGGTGGTGAGACAGGGCTGGTCACAGGACCAAGTGATTTCTTGTGCATGCACCTCTTTGTGTTAACACAGTAAGAACAGGAAAGGAGTTAATTGTAAGGGCTATGCCTTATACATATTTAGAAGGTAAAACCTTTAATAGCAGTTGTAGTTAACTTTGTGGTTTTAATGACAGCTCTGCATAAACCAGGAACATACAAACCACCAGGTGGGTGGAGGACGTGACAAGGGCACAAGCCAAGCTGCTGTTCAGTTCATGCACATCTTAAGACAAAAGCACACGTTGTCACAGCCAAACTAGGGCTTTAATAGACATAATCCTTGGAGAGCTCCTGGGAGACACATGAATAGAGAAGAGGAAATGGTAGGAAGTATTTTGGTTGTACTGAGCAGTGATGAGTCTTCCAGTCCTCATAGTGCTGAGATGTGGAGTCATGAAGTGTTGTAAATGCTTCATTTCAAGCCAGCAGCTGTGCAGAATCACTCATCTCGGGTCTCACTGGATGTCTGTCCTAGACTAAATCATTCCATCTCGCTATATTTGACTGAATTTATTGCTAAGCCCATGTCATTAAGTGCATTAATAACATTTTAACTCTCATTTGATGTTGTGGAAGCAAGCATAGCAGAATCGGAAAATAACTTGTCTGCTCACTAGGACATTGTGGCAGTGGGAGATATTTTTGCCAAACATCTCCATTACAGTCTGAACTATAGTTAGCAGGCAAGAAACGGGTGGTGCTTTCACAGGAAAGCAGCAGAGATATATTCTGCTAAAAATTCCAGAGATGCTATGTGCTTCCTAAATAAGATTTATGCTTATATGTTGTAGAGAGAACAACAGGCAGCTATGTTGGTAGATTTAAAAATATACTAACATCTGCTCCTTGTAGGTAAATAGTGTCTTTATGCTTGTCACAGCTATTTTTTGGCTTTATTTCAACTCAAATTTGGTTTAAAGCTGGGTTTTGTGTTAGTGCATGTACAGAGTTTTCAACCTGATTTGAAACTGGTAGCACTGTGTTTAACACTGGCATGTAAGCCTTAGTGGAGGAGATGTTGCAATGGCAACCTAAACCCACCCATATCTGCTTAGAGGTAATTGTTTCTTAACACCACTGATTGTAGTGCTTTGGATGCTGTCATATTTGAGTTTATTATGTTATCCATAAGCAAGGCAGGTGACAAGATACAGTTTGCAAAGCTGAGGAAAAACATTCCCCCAAAACATTCTCACTCTTTACTGGCTCCACACAGCAGAAGCCTGTGACTTGGGACCCTCAGAGTGCTTGGCGTGTTTGTGCAATTACCGAGCATCCGCTCTACTGGAAAAATCAGATTTCACAACTTGAAAATAAATTTGGCTTTAAAGGTACAGGCTCTGCTAAGATTTGTGTGGGGTTTTTTCTACAGCTAGTAATAGGAGAAACACAAGCAGATGTTTTCTAAGGAAGTACTACAGAAGCATTATGCTTGGCATTGGTCTATGTCCAGTGCATGTATAATGCAGTCCTTTTCTACAATCAGCTTTCAGCTGTCTGTGAGCTTGGTGAGCTCCTTGCCATAAGCAGTTCCTCTGCAAATGGAACAGGGTGCTCAAAGAAGCTGTGGCTGCCCCATCCCTGGCAGTGTTCAAGGCCAGGTTGGACACAGCGGCTTGGAGCAACCTGCTCTAGTGGAAGGTATCCCTGCCCGTGGCAGGGGGTTGGAACTGGATGATCTTAAGGTCCTTTCCAACCCAAATTGTTCTATGATTCTAAGTGTACGGAAGACTAAAGGAGTATGTCAGCATTAAAATCTCAAATGCTTTGTAACACAGGGACCTGAAGCCAAAGTGCTTCAATGACTGGTACCAATGGGATAGAGAGGCCTGTGATAAAATATCAAAAGCAGTCACATGTTCACATGACTCATAACATTTATTTTTCTATTTGTACGTGTCTTTGTGGACTTTGTGTTGTATATGCAGTGTATAAAATATAAGTCTTATGCTACTACTGTTCTGTATCTGATGCAAAAGGACTTCCAGCAACACATTGAATGGCATT